GCAGTGGTAGTAGTAGGAGGAGGAGGAGTTGTAGTAGTAGTAGTAGTAGTAGTGGTAGTAGTAGGAGGAGGAGGAGGTAATGGACAGTAGCCTCGATAAATCGAGAACTGGCAGGTCGTCCGGTACCCTCGCTCGGAGTGGAAGCTTCCTTGGGCTTGGTGCCGCAGTGAGGCACCATGGATTTAGTGAGGACCCGCATGCTCTTGATTGACCCTGCCCTTTCAACAGGCAGATGGGGATTTGAAAAGGTGACAGATTTGTAGGCCAGGTTATCAACATTTCAGCTGAAGCTGGAAGATCATGTTGCAGGCCACAAGAAAGCGTTGAGGATTTGTTGTGCCTTGGCATGCAGAATGCAGACCAGATCACGCACGCGTGTGTAGACCATGCTTTGTTCCACTCCGGCACAAAAGCTCAAACGCCACCGATGTGCGAAGTTGAGGGCCCTGAGAAGACGAGACACTGAACGAAGCCGAGGAAGCATATGGAGGGCTCCCACGGAAACCTCGAGGAGGAACTTCAGAGGCTGTTGTTCATGATGCAATGCATGATAACGCCTGCCATGGCACAGATCATAGTATAGGATAGTATAGGTCTCGAGAGTCAGCACTGTTTTCCGGCAGGTTCGAGACAGGTAGCATCAGTGAAGTGAACCACTTGCAAACGTCCTTGTTGCTTCGTGTCGGCCTGCATTTGCCAAAAAGTGTTCTTACCTGTAGCAGAGTCAGATGCGCAGGTAGAAATTGATTGCATTCGTGTCATGTTGTGGTGGCCGACATCGCGACAGACAGTGCTAGGCCCTAGCATATGCTACAGAGTACTTCAGTTCTTGGATGTCTCGCAGATGCCAGCGGAGGTGATGATGCATCATTGCCCGCTCTAGCTTCCATGTTGTTTTCAGATTCCACTGCTCTCCACAATCCGTCTCCGTGTTTGTCCGAAGGAGCTCTGAATCCCACGCCTGAATCTCGTGAAGACTTGTCTGCACACGCAGGCTTCGATGGCACGAGCTCGCCACCTTTTTCCACGGCCAGGGCCGGGGGGATGCAGATGACATCCTAAACTGGTTGCAGCGTGACAACGTGCAGGCCCTTCGGCTGCGCTCGTGCTAGAGTCTGCCTTTGTATGGGTGAATGAGTCTTGAGGTGCACGAGAAAGGCTTTCCACGTGGGATTTTGCGCCCTTCCTTTTCTCATTGAAGGACTGGATTGCCCACTACTGGTTTCGTGGAGCCACACCAGACGAGCTGCGGAAAGACAGCCCAGAACAGTTCCAGGAGCAGGGACACAGAGATCTTGATTCTCGCGTGGGTGTGGAAAGACTCACTGCGGGAGCTAGGTTAAGAGACCAACTGTCTCACAAAATCCGCATTAATAAAATGGAGGGGTATATGTCTTCTCCACTACACCTTTCAGTTGTTTCGGGTTTGTCTGTCAAGCGTAATTGCTTGTTTTATTCTACAGGCTCTCTAGTCTCCCTCACATAAACCCGTCAAAGGCTTTTAGCTATTATACTGTTAGGGCATAGCGTGTCTCCATGCAGTGGCCCACTCATGTCCCATCGTTTCTAGGTTTTCAGTCTGGATTTCTAAAGTTTACTTGATACGGCTGGGCGATCTCCGCGGTGATTCTTCTCACTCTCGCTGTCGCTCTCTACATTTTTTCTTTCATGCGAGTTCTGATTTCTTTTTGTAGTCACTCGCCGTTCTCTTACAAAAAAAGGCTTCTCCCTTCCTTAAGTTGCTTTTCCTTTGTCCAACATCCTTTGTTTGAGGTGTCCTTTTCAGGTGCAACGTGGGAGCTGGTTTCACATGTGCACGGGACCACTGCTGACGGTTGCAGACTGCATGGGCGTTAGTCGGTCCAAATCTCCAACCACAGTCGTGTCACATGCATGCAGCCTTATAGTGCCCACTGCAGCTCAAGCATCCTCGTGGACCTTCCTCCCAACCGTTTTTGGTACATTCCCCGATGGAGCTCGCAGGAACTTCGTTGCTTGGCGGAGTTGGTCCTGCAGACCTCTGGGCTGCAGAACATGCGTGAGGCCAGCATCGAAGGGCCCAGAACAGAAGGCCAAAACAGGGTGCCACCGGTGCCGGCTGCTGAGATGGAATGTAAACCGGAGAATGAGCACAGGAGTCATAGGAGCTTTCCAAAGCTCTAGTGCTCACCATAGCCCAGAGTCATTCATACACCGTGCTGGATGCTACGCCCAGGCATAGGGCCATTGGACAAACATGTAGTTCAACGGCACAAGCATTCTCAAGCTCCACTTTCACCAGGTTATTTCAGTGGCATCCAACTTGCAGGGGTTGGGTGTGTAACAGTCTCCTCGTGTCTTCGGTGGTGCGAGAGTGGAAAAAACCTGCAGGGACGAGATTATGTTCTTGTCATGAGTAGGTTAATAAAACTCTGAAGATTGGACATAAGACAGCAAGTCTGGGAGCCCAGATGACGGATGTGCTGCGCGGAAGAATTCAACGATCAGCCAGTGCCTGCAGGGCCGGAACCCAGATGTGCAGGCCTACCGCGTATTTTCCGAGGCTTGGCTCGAAGTGCGCGGCGAGGGACCAGATACCCGCGCGGTTGATGTTAATGCATCTAGTGTAATCAGCACGACGGAATACTACCCCCACCCCCCCCGCCAATTATAAGCAACATATACATACTACATGCATGAATACGTACATACATACATCACAGAAACAAGTATGTATACGCGCACATATATATATATATATATATCTATACACACACACACATAAGGCCGCCGTGATGCCGAGATCCCAAGCCTACCGCAGTACTACTGCTGCTACTACTACTACTACTACTACTACCAGCACCACCGCGACGATCATGTCTAGCACTAGGAACAGTGTAGTATTGCATTGGTACGAATTCACAAGGCTGCCCGAGCTTCCCTTCTCAAAGTCTCAAACAAGGACCCATTGCCTGTGGTGCATCGGCCACTGCTTGTCTACGCTGGGACTTCACTGCTATGCCCACTGATCTCTTACAAGGTGCTCGACTTCATTCCGAAGCGCAGTCCCCAAGATATCCCGACCCCCCAGTGCTTTGCTGTCCTCAGCTTTGCCACATGCGAGGGAATTTCTCACCCTTTCCCAGGCCTGTTGAAGGGAGCCTGTTGCTGCTAGCATGGAAGTGTCACAAGAGAGCCGAGGTGATGCAGTGGCAGCTTGGATAATATCTTGAACAAAATCGTCGGATCTGGCAGTCTGGCAGGTGCATTTCAAGCGTTGGGCAGGCTTGTTGTCAAGCTACAGCTCCAGGCTCGAAGCAGCATTTCCCATTATCGAACAGGAGCTTGAAGGCCTGCAAGCGTTCGGCAATCGCTCAGACCATCCTGGTAGCGAAGGACCCATCACGCTGGAATAAGAAACCACATGATGCATATTTGCAGATCGCCCACTCTCAAGGCAGTGCATAGGTCCACATAAGGAGAAAGGCCCATGCCCAAGCTATCTTAGACCTATGTGCGGACATCCGCATCCGGTCCGCCAAACTGTTAGCGTCGAAGTCTGTTCCAGATCGATGTGGCAACTCGAGGCTTGGATTCCACAGGGAGCGCTCCGGCGGGCTGTGTTACTGGAGCCTTGGCTGCCTTATGAACAGGCTCGGTCATGTTATCCGGCAGAGAGTGCCAGAGACATCGACATCAACTTCTGAACCGAAGCTTGCACTTGCCTTGTTGCAGTTGTTTCCTCTTCACTTTACAGCGGTTGCTGCAGTGGTTTCTTAAATTGCCCAAGCCTATACGTGATTGTGCATCAAGTTGCAACCCGGGAGCTTGCAAAGTGTCCGGCAGCCAGCCGTACCTTGTAACGCAGACTGCCATGCAAGCTGAGCAGGAAGCGTCCTCGACGAATTGATGTCGATCCCCGCGACGATGTCTCTGCCCCAAGGTCGACAATGCGACATGCGATCTAACATGCTTTGTTGTCGAATTGCTGTAAGTCTAGAGCCAGTTCTGTTTGAACCACTCCGTTTTGCCAGGTCGTCGGTTAGACTCGGCGTGAGTCTTTGTCGTATGTTCCTCACCGAGCCAGCAACAATGAACGTATCCTGCGTTGGCGTTAGCCACCATGGCAGACTGCCTTGCCAGATTGTTTGCAGGAGGGTGACAGCTTGAAGAATTAATGATGCCGAGATACAGAGGTGGAATCGAGCACGAGTAGCTTTGGTAGAAAAAGGTGGCTACTGGGTAGCTTCAACATGTCGCGAAATTGCGTTAGCACTTCCCCCCTTCGATTGAACTGGATGGGTTGCAGCAAAATCCAGAAGGTAAAGTTGAGAACCAACTCGCTTGAATTCCTTCCGTTTCACGACTCGTTCCGGAATAGGCGCAGAGGCGCCTCTGATCTGATCCTACATACAAGTCTCAATATCATCGACTGACGCGCTTGTCTATGTATATGCATGTGCCCGTATACACATGTATGTGTATACAGATACATGCATATACATACATATATAATACATTTACAATGCTGGCTAACAGGCAGTCCGAAGGAGAGAAAGACAGAGGGAGGGAGGAAGGGAGAGAGAGACAGAAAGAGCGCGGATATCTGCGAGGGCAATCCCCTCGACAGAAGCAAGCAAGCAAGCAAGCAAGCACGCACGCATGCAGGCAAGCAGGCAAGCTGGCAGGTGGGAGAGTGAGAGGGAGAGATGGCGAGACAGTGGGGTTTTCCTGGGTACGTGTACTGTTTCTTCCGAAAGCCCCATAAACCATGACTATATGGGCCGGGGGCTTGACCTGTCCCTTTGACCTGACGGAAGAAGCGAGACACTGAGAGAAGTGCTGCACCTTTGCTTGGGTTGACCCGAAGCTGTTCTCCTGCACAGACCCCGCCGCGCTCCCCCGCCCCACCGCATCGGCGAGTTCCTTCGCTCTGCCCAAGCCAAGCGCACCCTGCGAGCGGCGGCCCCCCGACTCCGCGGCACCTTCCGCGCCATGCATCAGTGGGGGGTGGAAACGCCTGGCGGAGCGGAGGCCTTGGTGCACTGGCGCAACACCATCGAGACGTTGGTGCTTCGCGGCTGCACTCCCCTGATGGTTGCCTTCGACCTCGACCTTGCCAACATGTTCGGGGGCATCGAGTGGCCTGAAATTCGCGCTGCCGTGCATCGGCATTTTCCAGAAGCCGCTCCTTGGGTGACATGGTGCCACGCAGAACCAAAAAAGTCCAGCTCCCTTGCGGCACCGAGCATCCCGTCACCCGCGGCGCAGGTCAGGGAGACGTCTACGGCTCTGCACTCGGCTCCCTGGGCTTGGGCGACCGCCTGACGGAGCATCGGGCCCATGCAGCGCGCACATGGGCCTGCTCTGCTGGCCTCGGGAGCGTTGACCAGTGGTATGTCAACGACGGGCAAGCCCCTTCGTCGTGTGCCTTGACGTCGCCGACGAATGGCTGCGGTCCGTGGACGCTGCCATCTTCGCAGTTGGTGGCAGCAGCTCTGCGGGAGCAGACTGCAAGAGCCACACTCGCTTGCTGCCGACGACAGTACAGCCGACTCTGTCGGTTGATGCTGGAGGACTCGGCATGCGAGAAGCGAGCACCATCGCCATGCCCGCCTTCCTGGCTAGTCGAGTCGCGTCTCGCCCCATGGTTGTCGAAATGTGCGAACACACTGCCGCTGCAGGCCTCTGCCCCGCTGCGCTCTCTTTGCAGACCTACGACGCCCGTACTGCTGCGGCATGGGCTGTGTGGCTGCAGAGTCTCCCCGAAGCTGTGCACGGCCCGCGACAGAGTACAGCGGCGCTGGGAGAGCTTTGTTCGAGGATGCCAGCCCGCCGCCGAGACCACTGGTGGCCCCCCGGCCCTGGCCCCGGGTGGCAGACTCATCGCCGCCTTGCGGACTGAAGACGTCGAGCGCCCACACACCCGCACAGCACATGGTGCTTGCCCTCCAGCGGCTCACGCGGCTCGCTGACAGATGTGTCGCTGCCGGTCTCATGAACAAGCTGCGTGCCCACAGGAATGCTGGGGTGACCTGCACCGCCTTCAGGACCTGTCTGCTCCGGATGCCTCACATGACTGGCTATGGGCCGTCGGGCCGCACAAAGGCGCTTGCATTGACAGCCGACGAATTCAGTGCTGCCGCTCGCCTTCGCCATGCGGTGGCCCTGCTGAACCTGTTCAGTCGCAGCTGCTGTGGCGTCGCCACGCTGCAGTGCAGTGGCGAGCATGCTCTACACTGTGCTGCTGGAGAGAGCACAAGGGGTCACAATGATGTACGGGATACCCTTCATGCCATCGCAAGGACCACGGACTCCCAGGCTGAACTCGAGCCCGAGGGGTTGATCGCCTCACATCCACGGCTTCGCCCCCCTGTTGATGTTCTCATTGGCGCCTTTCACCAAGGGCGCCGCGGCCGTTGATGTTGGTGTGATCTCCCCCCACGGCTGCTAGAGCCGGCCTCGACTGTGTGGTCACCATGCATGATCGCAAGCTTGCTGCCATTGCCTCACACCAGCCCGAGCTTTCCGCCGCAGGGGTCGAGTGTCAGCCTTTCGCTGTCAGTTGCTGGCTGCTGGGGCCGGCTTCACCCAGCCGCCTTGGGCATGCTCACCAACGCTGCCAAGCGCCTCGCTCGGCGCAAGGGTCTCGCAACGCACTCTGGCATCTTGCAGAGCATGAGGGCTCGCATCACCACTGCTCTCATGCGTCGCGCAGCCAAAATGCTTCTACAGTGCCTCCCACGCCAGTGGGACCAGTGGCACCTTGAGGCAGATGAGGCGTGAATGCCAGGTACCTGCTCGGGGGCCCTTGCCGCGAACGAGTTATGCGTTAGCAGGGAGTGCCTGTACTCTGTGTTTGAGAGCCAGCTGTCTTCCAGGGCGCTCTCGTGACACTTAGCTGCTGTCAGTTTTCAGTTTCCAGGGCCCTCCAACCGGAAATAGGCGAGGTGGTCATGTACGCCGGGACTTCGCAAGTGATGCGGGCAGCTGCCTACGCCTTGCAGCAGCAGTCCTCATTGGAGGCCGTGACTGGCGAGAAGTGCCCCTGTTTCAGACCAGAAATGTCAAGTCCAGCTGGCTGGCTGTCTGCTGTCCAGCTGGAGTACAGAGTCTCTGCATGACTTCTGAGCGTTGCTTGCCCTTCACACATGATTATTAGGTCCTTTTTGTTGTTTGCATATACACATACACACACGCTTAGACTTATGAGTTTAACGCTCCACGTGAAGACGTCGCGTGGGTGAGCATGGCATCCTGCCGCATATTTCCTGTGGCCCGGGGATTCTTGCGTCCTCCGGAACGCGACCGCGGCCCTCTCCGGAGGTGCACTGGGGAACTACATCCATGTGGACCACGTTCGTGATCTTGGAGAAGACCACGAAGCTTGTCCCGCTCTATGGCGAGCTCCCCTACAAACCTCCCATGGCCCAAGCCATGGAGGCACATGCCCCGGATTTTCAGCCACCGTAGGAGAAGAACAGCCACAGGAGGGGATGTGAGATGGTGCGGTCAGGACGAACATTCAGTGAGCGTACTGACCTGTGACTTTCTTTCCGAAGCAGCGCTAAAAACACAAATTCGTGTCTGCAAGTTTGCGTGGGATGTGGAGGAAGATGCACCACACGCTCATGCCCGAATCTTGCCGGGCCGCTGAGCCATTGACCACTTGCCGCACCGGGGCCTGAGGCCCTTACTCTTCTTTTCTTTTTGTTGTGATGCCAAGCACTCTGCACAGTCGATACAGACACTCCAGAAAGCGTATTCGTCACTGCATGTCAATGTTACTAATGTTGCTTCCAACAGGCCGGGAGTGGCCACCTATGCGAGTGCGAAAGGGTGCTCCTATGTATGTAAGAAAGCACTACGAAGTGTCCTTGATTTGTACATGTTGTGGACTGAATCATTTCTCTGCAGCGGTTGGCTACAAGCCAAAAAGCACAGACTGCAGTAACCAAAGTTCTTCAGGTCTAAAGCTTTCTTGTACAGAAGCAGAAGCAAGCACAGATGCCTGAAGCAGTCACAGAGCCCAGACTTTGCTTTGTGTCGTAAAAAGTGACCTCAATTCGATGACCGTGGGCGCAGCTGCTCTGTCTGCATAAGACCTACTGCCTTAAAGGAGCTCGGACTTCCCCAGCTTTTGACTACAAACCGAAGCTTCATAGGTTATGAGCGCCCAAGATGCTACAAGCAGTAACTTCGCGACCTCCTCGGAGAATGTGGGCAGGGATGTGATCCAGAACCCGAATGCTTTGCTGAACGGAGTTTCTACACCAGGTCTTCAGAGTGGTGATGCTGGGGATGCGAGAATGGAGAATCCTAACTTGCAAGACCAACCCCCGGCAACTGTGACTACTTCAGCAGCAAGGAGTTTGGCCTCTGGTGAAGTGTTCATGGGTTTCTCAGAGCCCCCGTATGGGAATGTGCCTGAAGCGAGGACGACTTTGGAGCCTTTGAACACAACTAGTGCATCTGCGCCTCTCCCGTCGAGGATAGACCCACCGATCCCTACGACACCGACGAGCTCTACGGTGAGAGTCCAGGAGTTTTACACGGCTCGGCACTCGGAGGGCCGAGATGGTGGGGATCACTCCGGCAACAGATGGATGGCACGTTTTTCAGAGTTTTCGGACTACAGCATCTAGAGGGGCCTTGGGTATGGATAGGGTTTTGGACAACTTGGGCCTGAACCAACAGAATGTGACGAATATGACCCAGGGAGCAGTGATGGTGAGAGCCTCCAATGTGCAATTTTCTCCACCAGAGCAGATGGCTTCACCCCCAGATGCTAGAGGACCTCCGGTTCCTACTTCGTGGGCTACTCCAACGGCAGGCTTCTCTCAGGTGCCCCTTTTCTCAGCGGCGCAAATGGCACAGCTACGACAGGCTCAGGCTGAATATCCACATATCTACGGTCATCCACCTGCGTCGGAAGTGGAGAGTGAGTGAGGAGTACAAGATGAAACACCAAGCAGAAATGGCGAAGCTTCAGCAGGAAGTCTTGAGTTTGCGTGCGGAAAGGAGTGAGCAACGTATGTCAATGGCGGTTCACAGTGCCGATGGGAACCTTGCAGTACCTCAAGGGAATCCTCAGCTGCTACCCCATGAAGGTCCACCAACACTACCTGAGGGATCTAGTAATGCCCGACGAAATCCTCAGAATGTCGATGGAAACCCTACAGTACCTCCAGGGAATCCTCAGCAGCTACCCCACGAAGGTCTTGGCCCAGTACCTGAACGATGCAATGGAATGGGCGAGGGTCGTTCAGCTGGAAATCTTGGTACTATCGGCCCCCGAGGAAATCCTCAGAACCAAGCGAATGATGGACCACAAGCTCCAGGAATGTTTTCTTCCGTCCCACAGAACCAGCAGGTGATATATGATGTACCCACAGTACCTCGAGGGAATCCTCAGCAGCTACCCCACGAAGGTCCTTTTGATTTTTGCCATGCACGTGGTCAAGAGTCTGGTCCATTTGAAAGCCATGCACGTGGTCAAGAGTCTGGAAGGGCAGCTGAGATGTTTCCGGGTGAAGGAGCAGAACAGGGAACGGTTGGGGGTGGTCATCAGGCAGATGGGACGGCGACAACGAATCCGACAGCTCAACAGTGGCTTGGAGGGTCTACAACCACGGATCCCATGACGTTGTTGGCGGGAGGTATGGCTCAGATTCAAGCGGTGATGCTGAAGCAGATGCGGCAGAAGGACCAGGAGAAGGAAGAGGACAAGTCTCCAGAAACGGTGAAGCCTGGCACGACATCCTTACCAGCCTTGGCCGATGTGAACCCGCAGACCAGTTCGGTGGATATAATGGATTGGCTTGAGGTCATCACTTCCACAATGCAAGACTTGTCTGATGGAAGTACGGTGTGGTGGGAGAAGGTTCGCGCGGTAGCGAATAAGTCCTACAGTCAGTGGACAAACGCCTCCCCGGTTGAGAAGTTGAGCATACAACCGCCCAAGGACTACGAGTTGGAGTCTGGACGGTGGTCAAGGGTGAATTCCCGTGCTTCCTCTATGATCATGATGGCTTTATCTGAGGCCGTGAGACAAGATCTCGTACAACGCCGCTCCACAGGATCAGCTACAGCTTTACTTTTCCGTCTTCTTTGTCTGTATCAACCAGGCGGCCAACAAGAGAAAGTTACAATATTGCAGAGTCTTCAACAACCAGAACCTGAAGTCACGGCGGCAAGAGCCGCTAAGTCGCTACGAGCATGGGCACGCTGGTTGAGGAGATGCAAAGAATTAGGGGTGTCAGCCCCGGACCCCAGCTTGTTGGCAAGGGGATTGTCAACAATAACAAAGGCGGTGTTGGAGAAAGAAC